TCAAAAGTTATCAATCATTAATTAACCTCAGGTGAAAAGAGGCAAAAAAATTCTATAACTTCTTTTTAACAGGTTAGGAGAAAAAACCGTTTTATTGTAAAATAATTAATTTGTTTAATTTCTCTGCTTGTTTTCTCTGTTTTTTGTGAAGGAAAAGGAAAAGATTTTTCTTCTCTTTTTCATCTATCTACCTCACTCACAAGCTTCCTCTTTTCCTACTATACTACCATCACTCCTTTTTAGATCTCAAAAGAATCTCATCCTTTGTCTGTACCGATCCATCAGTGGATGGCTCCATGGAAAGACGGTGCTGTCGGTGCCGCTATGGCCACGTAAACTGGTGGGAGGGACCACCGGACTGCATTTGGGCGGGGAGTTAGGGGAAAGAGCCGGCAAGGGGAACTTCACGATCGGCAACCGAGACTCTTGCAGCTTTTCCTAACAGCTGAGATTTTTCCAGCTTTAGTCTTAAAGCTCTGGAATTCTCCGGCAAGCTGGCTTAGTCTGAATCCAGACTGAATTTGCTAGACGATTGGATTCTACTGTACGTAACACTTTCTGGAAAAGACGGCCTCATTGGTAGATAGTCTGAAAAGGTGCAGCTGGTTCTCCAAAAACCTGATTTGCTGCTTCAGTTAGATTCTGAATCAACATTATCGTCATTAGTTTCTGTATACATTTTCTTGGCCGCCAACCTGTGTTCACTACGAGGAGAGAGATTTTATAATGATGTACCTGTTTCATTTTGCTTGGCAGAATAGAATATTACCGTTGTATGTATATATTTTTTATAATATTTTCTTTACTGTGTAAAGTTATACGTATGTGATATTATATATATTTTAACTGCGTACCTTCCTTGCTCGACTTTTCCTTCTATATCACTAAACTTCTCGTTCGCTACCATTTTGCTAGTCTGTTTGTTCGTACGCTTGTTGGTTCTTTCGTTCATTGGCTCATATAACGGTCTGTTTGTACAGTTTTGAACAGCTATCGGTTGTAATGCCAGTAGTGTTTTTGCCACACGTAGAAAGTCTGAAAACAAATCAAGTGAAGAAGAATTTCTCTTCCGGGAGAAAAACTTTCTGGAAGAAAAACCGATTTAGTTTGTTGTTTTCTTTTCTTCTTCTCTGAAAAATCATGCTTGCAAAAAATGAATGCAGGAAAAAGAAGAAAAAAATCTTGTGTTCTCAACAATAAAGGTTCCAGGATTTTTGAATTTACACAATATTTTTCCCTTTTTTGGTTTCTCTAAGCTTATAATCTATAATTTTTAATGAGCTTTTTGAGAATATTCGAGCATTAATAGAAAAAGAGAAGTCTGCTTTGAAATCAATTAGGCCTATATGTTATTTATTGAGAAGACTAGAGACTGATGATATGGGAGGGGATGAATGAATGTCAGTATGAGAAGGTAAGGAGAGGGAGAAGGAAGTGTAGGAGAAGGAGAGGACGAAAAGGAACTTGAAAACAGAGACAGCTTTTTTTTTTGTTTTTGATTTCTGCTTCCTCTGCATCGCCATTGATAAACCTTGCGGTAACTGCTATCGCAGAATTCCTATAGGTTTGAAGCACTGCTCAATTTCAAAAAATTTTATAAAAAAATGATTCCGTCTTTCTTTTATCATGAATCTTCAATGCTAATGACTTAAAAACACCGGAAAAAAAGTTCTAAGGATATTTTGTTCATGCAGGTATTGTTGCAACAAATTTTTTCTTCACCTCAGCACAGCGACAGCAACCAAACCATCTGTTGCTGCAGCAACTTTGGTTTGCTGCCCCTATTGGCTTCTGATTCATTTCGTTGCTACTTCATCTATTATCCTCATGTTTTCGTTCAATTCTTGACTTTCTCTGTTCTTCTCTACTTTTTCCTTCTTCATTTTTTCTCTTTTCTTTTTTTCTTATTTTTTCACTATTATCTTCTGGCAGTGATGATGATGACGATGTTTAGGTGCATATGAATGTATGTGCATATGTGGTTAGGTGGGAAACAAAACTGAAGAAAAAAGCAAGAAAATTGTATAAAAAGTAGAAACAAAAAGACCATTTTTTTTGGTCAGAAAACAACAGCACTTATTGATCTTTGTCTTTTTTTTCGCAAATTAGTTTTTTTCACTCGGTTTCTAAAAAAAAATTTTTTCATCCGGATTTCTTAAAATATGACTAAAGCAGCTTTCTTGTCCGTTGTTGCCTACATATTGATGGAGTTTTTAATACCTATCGGCAGCAGCAGTAACTGAAATGGTGGCAGCACCATAATTATCAATGACAATTTGGTTCTGATATCTGCATACAGGGAGAAATTACAGGATGCCATTTTCAGAAAGTACATACACTGAAAGAGAAGAAAGACTAAAAAACTTTAGCATCGTTACCTTCTTCCCCTTCTTCTTACGCCTTGCACTGTTTTGTTGTTTTTGATATGACCAAACTGATAACAAAACGTTCTCTTAGTCTCTTCCTCTTCTTTTTCAAATTTATTTATTTATTTATTTACCTGCTTGTGTATGTTTTTTTTCATAAGACTCAACAATTGACAGCATTTCCCTAATAAATTTCATCGTCTATAGCAACGCCTAAAACACACAATACACACGAACATAAATATAATCATGCAAGAAGTTCTATTCAGCTTTTTTCCCTCAACTTCCCTTTTATCCTCTTTTTTTGATAGTTCCTCCCACCTGTTATGTTAATAATACAAAGTACTAATGCTTTATCCCTAACTTTTAGTTTTTTTCTCTGGATCTAAGGTAACATGGCTTCATTGTTGGGCGGCTGACCCGATGCCATATCAACCAAACAAACAAAAAAAAACGGTTTTTCACAGTCACCGTTGCCACCACCAGTAACACAACCACTAATGCCATCACCGTCGCCATCACCACAGACATCGCTAAGGATCACAACTACCCCTGTTACCGTTCTTTAGCATCAGTCCCAACCCTTTAAACTTCTTTCAACTTCACTTTTGTACAACCTCCAACGCTCTTTACTAATGATGCACATCGCGTTAATATCATTTCACATGGATAGGTCTGCCTGCTGTGCATACTACTAACGGTACCACATATTTGGAATACTTCACGAAAATTCAATTCACTCACGAAGTGCCTAAAAATAAATAAGTAAATTATTATATATATATTTATATATAGTTTATTAACTTATTTATTTATTTATTTGTATTCAACACACACACCCCCCTCCCCTCATACCCACAAACACACACAGACACACAGACACCCAGACACACACGCAAACACACACACATACACACATACACACACAGAAATCCACGTATATCTCCTCATAACGCGCTTAACGTTTACACTAAGTATTCTCCAAAATCCAAAATGATGGATGCATTTTCGCTCATTTCTAAACCTCTGCATTTACTCATTTCTTTTTTTTTTTCACGCTCCCCTAATAAGCCGTCACTGAAAACGGATTTTTCAAACAAAATGATAACCTATTTCGACTCTTCCATTATTTTATAAAACTTTACCTCTGTTTACAAACCTGTTTTAATGAACTTTCTCCTCACTTATTCCGGCTTCAAAATCGTTGTCATACTCATAGTCACCCATCATTGTCGTTATTGCTGTCGCTCCCAGTGACGCTTTCTTTTTAGCAAGCGTCACTGTGAAGAAAATATACATTATACAAATACATAAACATACGCATATAGATATATAAATATATATATTTAAATATATACACTTACATAATATATATTATATAATATATAATATATAATATATAAT